GCAAGCAAGCAAGGTAAACATGTACAGCGGTTTATTAACACGTCTACCTTGTATAAGCAACATCCAGGCGTCCAACCCCATACTCCGCCCGGGCGTTATATTTTTCCGAATTCAGAGCTGAAAAATTGACTTCAACATGGCGGCTAGTGGAAGCCCTGGTAGAGGAAAAAATTCCGGCAGAGGAAAAAGCCCCAACAAAGGAAAAAGCCCCATAAGTACTCTAACAGAATGGCCGAAGACAAGGGAAGAGTTTGTGAAATGGTTCTGGTCAGGGACGAATGGCAATGAACTAATTAAAAAACTGAATTGTAGTGAGTCTCACGGAGATGATTACATTCGCCGAGAGAAAGAGCGACCAGCGATCTATTGCATCGTACTAAACGATGGTCCGTTTCCCGGTAAAGAAGGCAAAGCTCAGTGGAAGCTTTGCAAAGTTGGCTTTACTCACGTTAATACAGCGACAGAGGCAGGGAACAGAATGGAGCAAGTTAAAGAGGAGATAGAGAGCAAATACGAATCAAAGAGAGGGGATGGAAAGGCAAACGCATCTGTGTTGTTTGTGTTGCCAATCGGAGCAGTGGATGTCACAACGTTTTCAGAGACAGAGAAAAGAATAAGAAAAGCGGTTGGAAGGCCTATACATAAAGATTGGGCGGAGGAATTGGGTCTGCCACGCTCCACAGAATGGGTTTTAACTACTCAGAAATTCATTGACCAGATCAACGCGCGGAAACAGAGGAAGCAAAAAGCTGAAGGTAGTGCAGATTTGATTGATTTGTTCAAGGAGTTGAAATTTAAAGACTTTAACACTCATACAGAACCATCATGGGCGAAGTTAAATGACGTCGATGACGTACCGACAGTAAAGGATATGACAGTGCAAGAATGAATTAACAGCCGATCACAAACATTTTCAGTGAACATTGCTAATGAAAACAGGTCTTAATCCGGCGAACAAAATCTCAACGTTTTATATCGAGGTATTTTACAATATTTTTTCCTATGTAGTCAGGAGCAAACTAGGATGAGACGTTTAGCTGAAGATCAGTTCCATATAATCAAACATATTTTATCTACCACTAACGAGAACTGAGGTCCTTTGTAATATATCGTAAACTGCATGTTTGGTTTAAATAGACGCGGGACTCTTTCAAAGACTTGGAACAGCTGCAGTTGTATACGGCGTGGGTTGCGGTTGAATAGCTTTGTCTCTCTTATATGTAAATTCGTGAAAAATGTTTTAGTTTATTACTTAGATCAAGGACATCATTATTTATCATGAGAACAAAATTTAGCGGCTAAGGGGAAGGGGGGTGGAGGGAGGGGGGGAAAAGAGGTGGGAAACAGGCTGAGCTGAGGCCGAGCTGCGTCGAATTAATGAAATAAGACGTCTGACTTGAAAAATCCTGATAAACTCAGGTGAGCGCGAAATGCCAAACTTGAAAAATAGGTGCTCGATGAGCACATGAATCCACGGCCGTAGGTAAGTGGATTAGGAATCTCTGCAGGACCTGGGTTTAATTCAATGTCTCCTCATAACAAAAGCTTCTTTTCTGACAAAGGTAGTTCTTATTATCAAACTGAACTCGGACCAAAATTCTGGATAACATTTATAATTTCTACCAGAAGACCAACACTTTTCTTGATCAAATCTTTGTCAGCAAACTAGCTGGCGTAAAATAATCAAAGGGCCCTTTTGGCTGGCCTCGCGTCACTTGTTTTAGAGCGCAAAGAAATCCACTGCTAAACCAAACAAATGTAAAATGCAGTCGCAACGCTAGACATAGTAAACAGGAGCGCACTATTCACTTAATTCCGGTGTGTTTTTTGAGGAAAACAATTCGATCTGACTCGATCTGGCCCGATCTGACTCAATTAATTCTTGTGATTTATGCCCGCTTATTTCTTCCCAGAAAGTGCGCATTGCATGAAAGTTTTTATAGGCTCATTGCGATCTCTTGATTTTTCGGATGGTTGCATTGATGTTTGTGACTTCAGTATCTACGACCCTTTATGAAAACAGATTGTCACTGTCACCAGTTAGAATTTCATCTCAGGAACGTTCACGTGGCTCTTTGTCGAAGCCAACTTAGAGCTTTAACCTCTTGATACTTGCTTTATTTCATGGAGAGAAATGATACTGATATCAAAGGAATAGAAAACCAGTTAGCGCGAATCAGTTCCGGGTGATTTGTTCACTTGCTCCCATTAATGCAAGCACACTAGCTTACAGTAGCGTGATCCTCGTACTATACCTCATGCTTTTACTGCGCCTTTCAATAACATGCGGACTCTGAAATTCAAAGCTCAACCGACAAATGCGTTTTTCGCTACCGTCAATCAAATGTTCGGCGGCTCCTCCCAGCTTCCGACTATGTTGTCAGAACTGTGCTCAACGATTTGATTTGATTATCGCGCGCTCGGCATTAGTCGGAAGCTGGGAGGAGCCGCCGAACATTTGATTGACGGTAGCGAAAAACGCATTTGTGGGTTGAACCCTGAATTTTAGAGTCTGCATGTTAATGAAAGGCGCAGTAATAAAATGCAAAGCAAACAGAATACAAGTGTTACACTTGCGGTATCATTTTGAATTAATTCGATCTGGCCTGATGCCCTGATCTGACCCATGTTGAAATATACATAGCATACATTAACGACAATAAATTTTTGTGATTGATATTTCTCTGTTTGGCTGTTTGTTAATACGCATTGGTTGTTAGTTCTAATCCGATCATTAGATTAGATCGTGATCATTAATTATATTTGTCTGCGTGACTGAAATCCGAAACTTCAACGTTTTAGCCTGTCATCTGTTGTCAAATTAAGATTGATTGAATCGCGAGGGAGTTGTGTTGGAACCGTGGGTTCGGACACTAACAAAATAAAACGCTAAAAACAGCCTGGCACAAATGCTTGAGTCTCCAAGGTCTTCATGTCAGTACCCGTAAAAAAGCAATAAATAGAATGTCTTGAATCTGTGCAGCTTGGTTGTCAAAATCAATAACAGAAACTGCCGTCAATTCAATGTTTTATGCCAGTTTTTCGCGGACAAAATTGATTAACCCGCGATTTTCCAGAGCCACCCTTCACAGGAAACTTACATTAGGAACGCGAAGAGTGGCTACACGGGAATCCTTACACAGGAATGCAGGGGAAACACCCTTTATCATCGTGGGCCAAGTGACTTTAGTCACGTGGACAAGAGGCAAAAATTACAAAGAAGTGAAAAAATTTACCTGATAGCTTAGATACCAGCACTGAACCCCATTTACACGCTCAAACGACACTTTGAACTCCGTTCACTAAGAGCAATGCTGTTTTGTTATAAATATTTGTTGCAATATTTTAGTGCTATACTAGGGTTAATGCCGTAATCTGAATGGCTACGCTATCCCACACTAGCATAATTCACTGGCCGACTAATATAAGGTAAGAGCGCAATCTGATTGGCTACACGGGGGTGGTTATTATGAGCTCGAGATGTTGATGAGATCGAAAGGCCGAATCAACTATCGCTTCATAGAAATCGAGAACGAATATCTAATTATTTTAGAAGAATGCTAACTGAAATTTCCTTCAAATGACGATTTCAATTATTTCTGGTCTTAGTATTAAACTTGACGCTTTAGAGAATTCGCGCGGACTGAATTAATTGTCAATTTGACATTTGCAGTTGTGTACGCGCGATTATCAGTTTCTTTCAAAAATTCGAGCTTTTTAAATTCAAGAAACGTACCGTAAATGACCTCCTTTTAGTCTTAGCTAGCCTTCTCAGGAATTTTTATTCATTTGTTTCTGAATGTTCTTTCAAAACTTTGGAGAAACGAGGAAACGTTGCAATTTTGTCGACCACACCAAGCCATTGCACACGAATGGTTGATAGTATGCAATGGCTCAGCCAGTCAGGTTACAGCATTTGCGTTAGCAGACTAGTAGAATTCTACTAATTACCGATATACGGCACAAGGGGCTGATCAATCTATGAAAATTGAATGCATCTACAATAAAATAATTAAACTTCTATCGTACTTCACGGTTTCGTAAATTAAGTTGCTGAAATTAAAATATTGTTTTGTTTGATTCTTCGGTCAGAATCCAACAGAGAACTTTGCCTTTTCTCTTAACTGTTTCTTTTCGTTTTGTCTTTTAAATACTACTAACACGCCATTTATATGACCGAAATATTACTCTCAGTTTATCCAACCTAGTCTTGTCATTGACGCAAACTAAGAAATTATCTTTACTTATTTTCTTGGAAAAGGCATATAAATGAGGAGAAATTGTCAATATAAGGCAGAATAGGCCAGTTTCAACATATTTAACTTCTAACTTGGCTCCGAGGCTAAGGGCAATAAAACAAAGGAGATTAATTATTCATCCCTCAGCCTTCGTGCGATTTCTTTGTTGTTTTCATTCGAAGCCTTGGAGCCAAGTTAAATATAATACATTACTAATAAAAAATTGGTCCATTGCCCGGCTTTTCCGTCGCTGATATCTGCAATCAATAACAGCTCACTCTCGGTTTCTGTCAACGTCGTTGCTCACCAGCTAACAAACGATAGAAGGCTCGAGTTTAGAATAAACAACAGCGAGAATAAGCAACAGCGGCAGAGGCAGTAAGATAATAACTTTATTTAAGTGTCAAATTGATTTAGCACTGTTGTGCTAATTGAGGACACTGTAACCAAACAAATATTGCAAATAGAACACAAATTATTAAGAATTCCAACTGGTCAGCCTTCCACCAGTTGGCTATTTACACAATGCAGTCGAGGAGTTGAACTCGGGACTACAGAGAGCAAATCGAGATAGCGGTAGGAGGAGGATTTGAACCAGGGACCTCCAGATTTCAAATCCAGCGCCCTAAACCACTCGGCCACGCCGCCTCTTCCTTGTGCTGCTAAGGAATATAATTATCTTTTGCTATGAAATTTTCCTAAAAGAGGCGCTAATTATCAACACGTTACCACGCCTGCGTATTCTACTTATGCTTATGATTTTGCGCTGGTGAAAAGCAGCATTTATGGCTTACAGTTGGAAAATAGTCTTAAAGCCCGGTCCTCACTAGCGACAAAAGCATAGGCATAAGAAGTGAAGCCTTGGAGCGGAATGGATCATAGCTGCTGGAGCTTATCCTGGTTTCTGTAGCATGAAGCGGCTAGGAGTATTTCTACTACTCCTAGACGGGATGCTAGTCTATCGCAGGTCACTCCCCCGCAATTTGTTAGGTTTCCCCAACAATTCGCCGGTACCCATCGATACTCCTGGGTTGAGAGAGGAACTGTGAGTTAAGTGTCTTGTCCAAGAATACAACACAGTGTCTCCGGCCAGGGCTCGAACCCGGCCCTCTCGATCCGGGGACGAGCGCACTAAGTATAAGCTGAAAAAAGCTTCTGTGCTGAGGACGGCTGCGACATATGACCATATAAGCATAAGCATGGGCGTTCTTCTTATGCTTATGCCCATGTTGTAGATGTAAAAATGTGAATTTTATTTATAGTGGTCATGCAATTACCCATACAAGCACTAAGCTGGCCGAGTTTTCCTCAAACAAAAATTCAAAATGACCGGTGATTGATCAGTTTTTAAATTTCTCCGGCGTAGTGTGGACGGAAACCATTTGACGCATTTTCAGAATGAAACCTCCGTTTTCAATCAAATTCCTCCGGGGGGGGGAGGGGGGGGTGTGTGAACGGAGCCTTTCTATTTGAATCCCAGTAACAAGTTCTCAACGACCTAAGCAGAAAAAAAGGTCTTAATTTGATATTTACAAGGTTTTATCAAACTTGAAGTAAGAAACTTCACAACATAAAAAGACACCAGAAGAGATTTAATGTTCCACCGCAGTTTTAAGGAAAGAGCATTGTGGCGAAGTAGTCGTCGTACGTTTGGGCTCGACGAATCATCTCAAAACGATTGCAACCAACCCGCAAAATTTCTGCGGGTTGTAATTTCGCGTTGAAGTTGCAGCTCATTGCGTAACCATAAGCGCCAGCGCTGTGAATGATGCAGAGATCACCAATTTCAGGATTTACGTTCAGCATTCGGTCGACAGCAAATTTATCGCATTTCGTGCAAACGGAGCCGACCACGTCAAACTTTCGCTCTCTCTTGTCACCTTCGTGATTCGGACAGGCATAGGAAGGGTCGTCAACTACGGTCTTGTAATCAGGAAGGTTCTTTCGCACTTCATTCGAAAGAAACCGATCTTTGACAATGGTAACCGCGTGGTACATACCGTAGGGCCCGGAAACCGAGAAGTCAGTCATGGAAGCATCGAGGCCAAGGAAACGTTTGTAAGTGTCTTTCATGTTTATAACACGAGTCACCAGCCAACCATGGTCAGCGGTCACGACACTACCACATTCAAACTTTATCTGTAGCGGGTGAAGATCCTTGTGTGGCAATACGATTTCTTCGTACAAGGATTTCACTCGGACACCAAGATCGTGAAGGTCGATAGGTTTGTCATCAGGATGGTAATTCACACCGATACCGCCTCCCATGTCGACAAACTCAGCACTGATTCCTGTCTCCTTCTTGATATCCACCGCCAGTGTGAACATCATCCGAGCAGTCTCAGCGAGATCCTCGACATTCAGAGAACATGTAAGTATCATCATGTGCAAGCCAAAGCGCTTCACGCCATATTCCTTGCACTTCTTGAAGGCAGAGAGCAATTGGGCTTCAGTCATTCCAAATTTCGCTTGAGCAGGGTTACCAATGTGTTCGTTATATTTAATGTTGTTATTTGAACCTGGATTGAAACGAAATGAAATGATTTCAGGCATGGCACCTCCCAGCGCTTTCTTGACGTTGTCAATTTGGGAAAAGTCGTCCAAATTGATAATGGCTCCCATCTCAAAAGCTTTGCGATACTCTTTTAAAGGTGTGTTGTTTGAAGTAAACATGATATGTTCACCTCTAATTCCAACCTTTTCACAGATCATGAGCTCTCCAAGTGAGCAGCAGTCCATGGCCATACCACACTCCTCGTGCAGAATCTTTAAAATCATCGGATTCGGTGTTGCCTTGACTGCAAAGTGGTTCTTAAAGTGCGTTCCAGTTAGCGATCGAACCCAGGCGAAGCTATCATAGAAGTTCTTGGCTCCGTTCACTATTTTTTCCTTGTCGTAAAGATAAAACGGAGTCCTGTACTTCGAAGCCACTTCTCTGAGTTCTTCCTTGCTGCAGGGTAACGGTTTGATGTCTTGTACAGCAGCCATAACTACTGTTTGAAGCTTTTTGACGATGCGAATATTCTGAATGAGAAGAAAGCGGCTTTGGAACTAAGCGTGCATTTTATTTATTCATTTATTTTTAATAGATGCATGACATGAAATTATAAGGCATGTATCCCCCAGATGTTTCATGTGCTGGCAGCGTAATGGCCACCCGTTCTCAGATGTAAATATTTTCGCTTTTTCATGCTACATTCCAAAACAAATAGAAGACCTAGATCGTATGCGTGTTTCATTGAGAACATGGAAGACCACATCTTTTATTTGAAATAAAAAATACCCCGGGGCTTATTCATTTGAAGCTATACGAGACTTTGCATCTTTGGCAGTTATTCAGTGAAGTGGAAGTAAAAGTATTATGGCGTGATGGGTTCTACCTTGATTCGTGTGTCTGCACTTTGAAAACCATTTATTTCTAATACAGAATCCTTTAACTGTAAACCGTTCTTAGCGCACAGACGTAGCAAAGAGTTGATATTTAGGACCTTTTTTAGGAAAATTTCCTAACAATAGGTACGGTTGACAGTCACCGCTCTGCGTTATAAATCTATTCAGGAATTGAAGCGTTCAGTGATATGTTGAGATACACACATTTTTTCGTTCTTTCAGAATATATCTTATAAATAGATCGTCGAGGCTGGCATTTTAAGAAATTTTAAGAATAACCCGAGGCTAAGATTTTATAGAGAATATAATTTTGAGCGTAGAAAATTTGTGCATGTACAAGTGAATGTTGTTAACTATACCGGATGAAATTGAAATTGCTACTTAAGGTCATTCCTCACATTTGCATTGCGCATCATTACTGCGCATAATTTATGGCGTCATTAGCGCGCGCTCGTGCACGCGCATATTGAAAACATGACGGATTTGCCTTGATATTGAGCTCTTTCAGTTGAAAAATGGCTCTAGCTCACCAACAAGCACGGGCACCCCAATTTTTTTTTCCAGTCATTGTAATCAACTAATCATAAGCTTCGCGTGAGAAAAGACTGATCTAAATTCTATTGCTGAAAATTTA